CCACAAGAATGGTCTCCAGTGCATCATCCATATTTCTCATTATCTAGCTTTATGAAGAGATAAGTAACATAATGACTTTTGGTATCATGTAGCATGGGGTTTTTTGTAAGGGACAATGTACCTTTCCTCAGGTACATTGTCCTATGACTCTAAATACACCTGACATTTAACTTGACTTTTATCTTGCTCTTTTCGGTTTGCTTCTTGCTCCCACTGGAATATCCCACTTCTTCACACAGCACACAGGTATCCATGGAGCTCCTCATCACAACATGCTGTGAGTGCTAAAAGTTTAGAGTTCAAAAACTGACTGCACAAGTTAATGGGCAAAAAGTCTACTGAAGGCAATTAAAGACTTTAAACCTGCTTTTGACAAACATGTACCCGTGTGTCATTCATTTATCCGAGATGCCTCTGCACAATATGATGAATAGCTATACCTTCCCAAGTCCCTTTTTAAGCTGGCAGACAGAGTCCCTTAAATGTTCTGCTAATAAATCCACACCACACCACGCCTTGGAAACTGGCTGGTGCCAGGAAGCAGAATTTTTGAAGTGAATTGTCCAGCAATTGTCTTTTAAGAGCCATTGACTATTTTAGTCAGTCAGTGGCCATTAACCTCAACCTCATGGCTACTTCTCTTGTTCTTTTTGCTTCCTTCATGGTTTCCTGATACTGCCCAGCTGAACTAAGGCAATGTATTCCTAGAGGGATTGTACCAGTCACCATGCCAATAAATACTATTTATAAATTGTGAACAAAGGAAATCTACTTACCTCATTGTCATGACCCTGTGTGACTGGGCAAGCTGACTTCTTAAGAATCCTGAGTTTAGCCTCAGCGATGACTGGCTTACCTTTCTGTTGGGGGTTCCAGTAATGGGAGGAGGAGACAGGACCCAAGCTTTGTGAGGAATACAAAAGCAGCCCGAGTACTATGGTGAAGAGTTAAGAGCACTGCAGGTATTTAAGCTATTTCACACTGGCAGTCTCTATGACTGGATCTCTGAGCCTGGGCCTGGGAAACAAACCCCTGCTGAGAGCAGGAGTCATGGAGGAGGGCTGGAAGGAATGGATTTTTTGTTTTTAATTTTACTAAAAGCAAACAACCAACCTTCCCCCAAAGACACCACCACCACCACCAAAAGCCCACAATGGATTTCCAAAAGCGGTTCTGAGAAAACAACCCTTGCAAGAGAATGAAGCCAATATATCAGGACTGACTTAGTACCAGACCAGACCCTCCTACAAACAGTGTAAATGACAATACTACAGAAGGGATGAAAAAAGTAGCTGGAGAGTCATGTCCTGGAAGACGGAAAGTGCTGAGGTGCTTCCATTGTCTGGTACAAGTCAATATGGTCACTGGTGGTCTTGGGATGTAAGGTGTATTAAATTTGCAGAGTCCATAACGTTGGGAGAAACTGTTGAGTATCTCGGAGGAAGTATGCTGGTAGACGGACTTAGAATTCAAAATTATTTTGAATATTGCCCAGCTGTTGGGCATCACCCTTTAAGAAAGATGTGGCCCATGCAGAGTGTGATGATACAGAGACTAGAAGGAAGCAGTGGGAACATCCACTAGCCTAGAAAACATGACCTGTAAGGAAAGACCAAACAGATTGGTCTTGTTTAAAATAAAGAAGAAAAGACTTCAGGGACGCACAGGATACAAATTTCACATGTGACCAACCTCAGCTCCAAATGCACAATGATGACCTGTAGGACAAAAGACAAAAACCTTCAAAGCTGCAGTGTGCCACAGGAAAGGAGCAGGAGACATCAAGGGCATCATGGAGGCCTTCAGGCCCAGTGCTTACAGGGTACTTTTTAGGTGTGAATGCAAAGATTATCCTGACAAATAGGCCATGTTCCCTGCAACTCACACATTAGAAGAACTCTTAACAGCCTTGCCAGCCTCACCTTAAGAGTGTGGGGACTCCTTCTGGGCACAAATCTAGCAAATTATTTAATTTGACATATGAGCAAGGTACATGAGCCAGGCATCTGAGAAACAAAGACCTTAAAAATATTAATTAAGAAAATTCAGGTCCAAGTTACACATCAAATGGTGAAAAAAATCCTTTTGGCTTTACAACCAACCAGCAATATAAATATAAAATTAAGTTCTACCACACTTACAATGCATTGAACTAATTAACAAGTATTAAATAACACATCCTAGAACACATCTTTTTAGCAGTCTTTGCATCGGCATCATGCAAGCACTGTTGGTGATACACAGATCCCTCCTCAATTTCACTGAACTGGGGAGACTCCAAAGTTACAACAAAAGCTCTTATTGTTAGTTTTTAAGTGTGTGAGCTCCACCTCAACCCCTTTCTAATATGCTACTATGCTCCTGCTCCCATAGTCCTCAGTAATAGCAATGTCTACCAGCTTTGTGACGGTCAGACACTTCATAACCACACATACACTCCTTACACCCAACACCACCGGTGATCTTGCCTCCAGACTAGTCCCTGAGGTGCACCTCAGATAGCCTGCCTCTTTCGGTATCTTGGCTTCCCTTTAGCATTTCCATACCCACTGGTGACCCGTACTTGTAGCTGTCTGCTCCATGTTAAGTCATTTTCTCTGAAGGACTCTATTAAATGTGGAGCATAATCCAGACAAATTTGCTTCACTGCATTTTCTTTTGCCTCAGGAATCACTTACCTTATCAAAGATCTTGTTAGTCTGACATGATCTAGCTTTGATCAACCATACTGTAGTTGAACCCATTTTTCACTTACCTCTAAGACTTTCCTCAGTCAAACTAAGGGATCATGGAGTTGCTGTTCCCCTCACTCCCTCCGCCTTTTTATTGGAGAGGTTTCCTGTTCTCCAGTAATAGTGCTTCGCCTCCAACTTGCTCGAGTCATTGAAGACGTTGCTCAGGACTTGAAAAGATAGCTACCAATTCTTTCAACATTTGGGTTGCAGTTTTCCTGGGCCTGTCACAAGAAACAGCTGAAGTTATGCTTCCACTTCACATCTGCTACTGTCATTATGTTACCTCACTTCCATTAAGTTCTCTGCCAATACACTCCTATAAATAATGTTCTGATTGCAAACTGAGGCAATGTATTCATTCAAGATTTGGAGCAGCCTCAATCTTCATCCCATCCCTGGCATTTATTGACCATACATCTTCCTTTTTTGAATCGTTTTTATTTACATAGTTGAAGCATTCTTTGTTGTCCTTTTCTTTGCAACATCTGGCTTGGCTAGATTTTTATCCATTCTTTCTTGCTGGTTCTGCGGTTTCTAACCCTGCAAATTGTAGCTCTCCTATTTCCTCTCCTGTAGGTTCACTTACTACTTTAATATCCTCTTTCAGGCAGTTACTTATTGACTTGGTCTACAGCTGTTCTTGACCTATTCCAACCTCTTTTAGGGGATGAAAGTGCTATACGGGATTTTTCATTTTGGATTTAAAGTGAGTCTGTGATTCTTCGACATTCAAATGCTTGAGTTTTTAGGTCCAGGCAGCCTCATCAATCATTTTTCCATAGTTTCTTGATGTTTGCCCTCTGATATCCAGGACAATAGGACCAGATCTATAACTGATTCTCCTGAAATTTGCAGTAAAAACCATGAGTCATTCATCAAAGGTTATTTTCTATAATAAAATTATTTTTAAAAGGATTTATAATATCCTTTCTCTTTACTGAAAAGAATTCTAGAGCAGCTTCCCTTTGGGCTGTTTTTTCTGTTTGGTGGCTGCTGGTAGAAAAAGTTTATTGCCTATCACACCCAAGAACACATGCTGCATGTGGTATTTGTTTTCCAAACTGTCTGGGGAATTAAAGTCTTCCCCAACCCTCCCTGTTATTTAGTGTTGATGGAAATCTCTACCCATAGCCATCCCTGAACCTGAGGGTCTATACCAGATTTGGGGGCTTTTTTATCACTCTTATCCATGGTCAATTTCAAAGAAATGTTTTATTTGTACCATCACCTTTTCTGTCTTCTCAATCTATTACTTCATTAATTTCTATTAATAATTAGTAATTAATAATTAGTACAAATACCACCTCTATCCTCATCTTTCTCTTTTCTTCAGCCCCTCCAGGTTAGAGGACAGAAAGAGAAGAAAGTGACTTTGTGGTTGGCCTTAGCTCCTGACTTGCTTGACTTCATAGGTAAGGCGTGGTACCTGAGAAAGTTGTCTCTTTCCATCTAACCATTCTCTGGGGAAATCAGCCAAAAGCCGAAGAAGTTAAATATATATAGCTGTATACATTTAGAGGTTTGAGCAAAAGAAAAACAAGAATGTTAAATAGAATTGTGTTTGTTGGAAGTGGGAGAACACACCTTAGTGTAACCAAAGCGCTTGGCAGCCTGTCAAAAATACTGTCCACAAAAAAAACGTTCTTGTGTTCTCTGCTATGGGGAAGTCCTGCAGAAGGAACAGCAGGCACCAAAACAGCACAGCGGCTGTCGGCTGTTTCTTCTCAGTTGTTCCCAGACTCTTTCAGGCAGAAGTCACACATCCCCGCAGTCGGTAGGACTAGAAGCAGCAGCTAGCAGTTCCTGGGTAGCAGCAGGACGAGCGGCAGGATCTGCTGTGGGAATGAAAACCGAGACAGGAGGAGAGAGCCGGTGAGGTTGAGAAATTGATAGACACCACGTAAGAGAAAGAATAGCCCTACAGTATTGCTTGACTATTGCTACTGCCTGTCTTAGCCTATGCCTACTTTAACCTCTGTCTCCGAGATGCCTGTTTTTGTTCTTAATTTTATTAACATTTCCATTTGGTGTGGTATTTTATTTCTGACTGATATTGATCTTTTAAAAAAAGGGAAGAGGAAAGCTGAAAGTCTGATAATTCTGATCTCCACCAGGTGACCAACTGGTCCCCTGCCATCGGCCAACAACAAATCAAGAAGCGAAGCCAAGCCTGGGACACAGGTAGAACGTCTAAAGAATTAAGTTATTGACCGCTGCCCCAGTAAAGACCTAGTCCATGCCCCTCGCTCAAAGGTCAGCCTGGAAATGAGCGCGGGTGGTCCTGAGGAGAAAGGTGCCGAGCCGAAATACAAGGAGAGACCAGAAGGCAGTGAGGGAACGGACCTGCACCCGCCGGACTTTGTCCCACATCTTACTTTTTCGGCCAGGCTGGGTGAGTTTTCACCCGGGGAAGGTGAGGTGATGGCGGCCGAGGGACCCCGTCCCGCCCTCGGGGTCCCTAAGGCAGCTCACCCTTTTTCGGTCAAGAGACACAGCGCCCGGGCCGCTCCGTTGTCCACGGGCCGTCGAAGGGGACCCTCGGGCACTGGCTGAGGCGGCTCGCCGGCGGGGGGTGAGCGAGGGCGGCAGGGCTGAGGCACGGCGCCCGCCGGAGCCCCCGTTCCCCGCCTCAG